TGATTACACCCAGATGATGCTAACGTGGCTGGTCCTCAGATCCTATTTTGAGTAGCAAGGTTTTAAGCAGACGCATACATACAACTAGCCTAACTCACAAGAAAAAAGCAAACGGTAACATGGTGGCAAAAAGTGAGAAGGATAAAACTCTGATGAATCCTGTTAAGTTTTTCACATCTGAGCATAATAAGTAATTCCCTATTCACAATGGAGAACACACACTTTTACTACCTCTTCATTCCTGCCATGACTAAGTACCAGAAAAGATACAGAACTGGCCAGCCAGCCAGCCAGACTGGGACTAAATCCATTTGAAAAGTTAAAAAAAAACCACAAAATCTGCTGCACAGAGATCATCCCATGGAATATTAACCATCACTACCTTTCCCTTTCTGTACTTTGTGTCTTTTCTTCCTTCCTCTAGTCAGTGTTTATCAAGTGTGTTTGGGGATCAATGGCAATCCCTGGCAATCTATTAACTGGTCTATAGACAGTTTGAGAAAAAAGTGATAAAAGTTTTGATTAAAACCTTTCACAAATTTGAGAAGATTATGACTTTCACAGAAATCCTTTTAGGTTCTTTAATGCTGTTATACTGTAAGCACCACCCAAGCTTTACACAAGGATAAGAAAGACTATCATAATAAAATGAAAAGGAAAGGGCTAACATACTTCCACAACCTGTGAACTGTTTACATTGGTTAGATACAAATTTTGTTGTTTGTATCATATTGTGTTAAATCTCAAATTTAGGGAAATCAATCAATAGTTCAAAAGAGTAAAAGGAAAAAATTGAAGAGTAAAACTGAAAAATAAAAATACATTTAACTCAGAATGCCATAAATGATAACAGTATGATTTTATAGTGAAGACTGAACTTAAAATGGGCTGGTGAGCTAGGAGTGATTACTCTGTACTAGGAGACATCCTTTTTCCCACTGTACTGTGATACATTATTAAATAGGGACAAGAAGCCACTGAAGTGTTCACATCATTTTCAACCACTCCAGTAAACCAAGCAAAGCCTCCAGTATGAATTCTGTCACTGAAACAGCAAAATAATAGTCAAAGGTAACTTTTTTTAAACAAAACAGGTTTAACTACTATCAGCTGCAAAATTAATGACAAACAGGCTCAGACAGAAACAAAACAATCTACTGGCAAAATTCTATCATCAGATGACACTACTGGACATAATATGCTATGCATGTTATACAGAGAGGAAGAACAATTACTATTACAGATGTATGCTCTTAAGTATTTTGTTTTATGGCTACATGAAGCCACTAGTGTACAGAGTATGAATCAACTGTTAGCATATACAACTGTAGTATGTTAATCAAGAAATACAAGCAACTTTTAAAAAGTTTTTAGAAGACATTTTCTTTTAACCAACAATTATTTTTGAAACTTGATGTGAAAAGTTGTGCTGGAATCAGCATGGCTAGAGCACTAGCTCTGTGGGCAGCAATAAAGAGCCCAAAACCTGAAAGCCAATTCACACATGGCTTCATTTACAGACAACAGCTGGCTTGAGTCATTGTTAGTAACTGCATGGAAAATTGTGAATATAATTAAAATTGCAGCCCTTGAGCAGATACCTTCAGTATGTTAAGAATGCAGAAGCAGGCTGGGCACACGGTGGCTCATGCCTGTAATCCTAGCACTTTGGGAGGTCAAGGTGGATGGAATGCTTGAGCCCAGGAGTTTTGAGACCAGCCTAGACAACATGGCAAAACCCCATCTCTGTTTGGCGGAAAAAAAAAAAAAAAGAAAGCAGCAGCAAATAAAGACTCTGTTTTTCTGTTTTGTCAAGAGAAAATATGCTAACAATACCTACTCGAAGGATACACTGTTTTTTTCTTTTCTTTTCTTTTTTTGATATACTCTTGTTCTGTCGCTCAGGCTGGAGTGCAACAGTGTGATCTTAGCTCACAGCAACCTCTGCCTCCCAGGTTCACACATTTCTTTTGCCTCAGCCTCCAAACTAGCTGGGATTACAGGCTCCTGCCACCACACCTGGCTAATTTTTGTATATTCAGTAGAGACAGAGTTTCACTATGTTGGCCAAGCTGGTCTTGAACTCCTGATTTCAGGTGATCCGCCTGCCTCGGCCTCCCAAAGTGTTGAGATTACAGGTGTGAGCCACTGTGCTCAGCAGATAAACTCATTTTTTTATAACACTGATGATGTCATTAAAACATATCTATGATTTTAAGTGGCTAACTCAAGTGCCGTACCTTTATGACAGACAGTAGAGTGACTAGCTTGAACATACCATTTGATGGTAAAATTCTTTTTTTTTTTTTTTTTTTTTTAAAAAGATAGGGTTTCACTCTGTCACCCAGGCTGGAGGGCAGTGGTGCAATCATAGCTCACTGCAGCCTCGAACTCCTGGGCTCAAGTGATCTTCCCACCTCAGCCTCCCAGGTAGCTAGGACTTACAGGTGTGCTCCATCATACTTGGCTAATTCTTTTTTTTTGTAGAGACATGGTCTTACTATGTTGCCCAGTCTGGTCTTGAACTCCTAACCTCAAGCCATCTACCCACCTCAGCCTCAAAAGTGTGGGAATTACAGTTGTGAGCTCCCATGGCTGGCTACAATTCTTTTTTGCTGTTGTTGAGACAGTGTCTCACTCTGTCTCCCAAGCTGGAGTACAGTGGTACAATCACAGCTCACTGCGGCCTCCACCTCACAGACTCAGGGAATCTTCCCACCTCAGCCTTCTGAGTAGCTGGGCCTACAGGCATGTGCCACCAAGCCCAGTTACTACTACTTCTTTTTTTTGTAGAGATGGAGTTTCACCATATTGCCTAGGCTAGTCTCAAGCAATCTACCCACCCCAGCTTCCAAAAGTGTTGAGATTATAGGTGAGTCACTGTGCCAGTCACAATTCTTAGCAGCAAAATATGCAGACTAAATCATGATACAAATGGCTTAACCAAAGAATTTTGCTCTTTTCTAACAACTAGATAGACTTGAAATCATATTCAATTACTGCACTGAACCTGAAAACACAGTTACTAGAACTGAATTCAACCAAAAGGACAGATCTACACATTGCCATCTCCCAAATTAAAATGTTCACCTTTCCTGTTGAGTGCCATACATTTGTCAACTTGATGTAGTTTTCAGTGAGAATTCTTGTGATAATTTTTGTGCCCATTTGAATATCTAAATCATCTAAAAGAAATGCCATATACTTGTTGATTTTCCCAAATCTATAATTCAAGGATGGGGCTATCTAATTCAGTAAAACTAAGAGCAAGAAAAGAAATTGGTTAAATAGGAAACCTTAACTTGGACTTTGAGTCTTTCACCACATTAATGGTGGTGAAATTAACGTGGTGAAAGACTGTAGCAATCATTGCTTTTTCTTTTTCTTTTTTTTTTTTTTTGAGACGGAGTTTCGCTCTTGTTACCCAGGCTGGAGTGCAATGGCGCGATCTCGGCTCACCGCAACCTCCGCCTCCGGGGTTCAGGCAATTCTCCTGCCTCAGCCTCCTGAGTAGCTAGGATTATAGGCTAGTGTCACCATGCCCAGCTAATTTTTTGTATTTTTAGTAGAGACGGGGTTTCACCATGTTGACCAGGATGGTCTCGATCTCTTGACCTTGTGATCCACCCACCTTGGCCTCCCAAAGTGCTGGAATTACAGGCTTGAGCCACCGTGCCCGGCCCTGCTTTTTCTGATAGTGGTTTAAAAAGACTGCTTTGATCTTAAAATAAAAACGTTTTGGATTATTCTTCTGTGTTTATCTAATATCAGTGGTATGCACTGAAGACCCATCACATGGTCCACAAATTTCCAAATGTTTGAAAACACTACTTTCTCTAATACACTACTTTCCTTTCATAGGAAGCGATCATTTTTTCCTGTGCATGTTAGAGAAAAACAGACAACCATGGAAATTTTGTTTGCCCTTATTAATCTTCTTACATTAGAAAAGCACTTCATTATCTACATTTATGTTGCCTCATTTTCAAAAACATTGGTCTGATTTCAGTATGAACAGCACTTATTAAAAAAACGTATCAGGCCGGGTGTGGTGGCTCATACCTGTAATCCCAGCACTTTGGGAAGTGGAGACGGGCAGAACACGAGGTCAGGAGATCGAGACCGTCCTGGCCAACATGGTAAAACCCGTCTCAAAAAACAAAGAAAAAAACAAAAACAAAACCAATCTATCTAATAATTATTTCAAATTTTTCCTGAATTCCTCTGCCCCCAAAGCCATTCTTTCCTTATGACCTTCCCAGAACCCAAGCTGCCTTCCTATACCTCTTGGTTACAGCCAAGGGTTATAAAAAAAAATGTTTAACAACTGGCATGGTATAAACACCAAGCCAAGAGATTGACACCAATTTGTAACTGTATGGCTGTAATGGAACAGGCTCACTCAACCTCAGCCTTCGTTATACTGCTTCTTATAAGCAGTCTGTTAGACTTTTTTTTTTTTCCCATGTTAGGCCTGTTTTCCAAGATCTTTGGTTATTTCTTATCTGCCACTTCATAGAAAAGGGACAGCAGTATTCATGAAAGAAAGCACACATATTGGATTCCAAAGATGAGTTTAACTTCATATCTTATTAAATCTTTAATGTCTCTACTTTTACTACTTAATAGGAAGAATTAAGAAGTATTAGAATATACTACTGCTTTCTTTCTCTTATACCGTCTCCAGAGAATTAAGCTAAGTCAGCTTTTTATTATAGCTTTGTTATTCAATTATATCCACCCAAGTATGCAAGTTCTCTATCAAATAAAGACAGTATACAGACAAATGGATAAGTCCGGGGATATATTAAGGATACCGTAAACTGTCAGCAAAACAAATAAATGTCTCTGACATTCAGAGAGGAAACAAAAGAAAGAGAATATAGAAATTCACACACACACACCCCCCCACAAAACCAAACAGGTGGGTCATTTTAAAGTAAACTTGAGACCATAAAGCTACGTAAATATATCTGTGTTGTTTTTAAAGATATTCTTACCCAACTTTGGAAAAACTATTAGGTATTCAGCATTGCACTGAGGACATGCCACTCTGGCTGTACTGTTTCCTCTTTGCTTTTCATCCACCCAGCGTTGTAGACAGGCCTGGTGAACCCATTTTGTAGATCCTCTGCACCTGCATGGTCTCACCCATTCAGCTGTTCTATCATCTTCATCAGTAGCAAAACAGACCCAGCAACTTCTGTAAGTTAAAAGAGAAAATGACCGCATTTATCTATAGGACTCCAGCCTCCTCCATACTGCAGCTCTTACTTAATGGGATAAGCCTACTATGTTGTATTACATAATCTCTGTCCTATATTAAAAGACTATGGAGACAAAACAACCAATACATTGTCACTAGAGCAGTTTCTACCTTTTCTGTTTTTCCTTGTCTTCCTCTACAGAATCTTATGTTTTCTGAATTTTGTTTTTATGTAATCTCTATCTTTTCAGTAATTCTTCACCTTCTCTAATGAACCAGAGTGTAAGAAGACATACCTCAAGCTGCTTTTGTTTTATAAGACCTAATAATTCTTTCAAGAAAAGTAAGCACAGTAATATTTTAGATTCAGTGTTCTCCCCAGTTCAACAACACCAATCTCTTGCGCTTGAAAAAAACAAAGTATTACACAAGTGATTTTACATATGGTCTTATTCCATTTTCAGCTGAGGAAAAACAAACCCATTTATCTTTCTGGTAAAGTAGAAATAGATGAGAAAAAATATTACATTTTCAAAAAAGCACAAAGGAGATAAAGATATCAAGTTTTTTTTTTTTTTTTAGGGTAGCTATATGATAAATTTGGGTGTATATGCTTGAAATTTGAAATCTACAAGTATCAACTCTGGGATGCTTATGTTAATAAAAGTAAAATTCTATCGAGATGGGTAATTTTAAGACATTTTCCCACTTTGCTTTTAAGGGTACTTCATGAAGTCTAATTTTTTTCTTATGGAATAAGGTTGCAATTCCTCAGTTTTTCTACCAATTAACACAAGTTTTGACATCGATTTCCATTAGGACAAATACAGTTCAGTTCAATGAGACCATTCTCTCCTTCCCTCCATTAAAATACGAACTAGTGGAAACAACTGCTAATTAAAGCACGTTACCTACTATGCACTTTTCACTTAATTGGATAAGTGGCTTCTATCAGAACAACTAGCTTAACTATGTTCAGTGGGAAAGACTATATAGTCAGGTGTTATAGATGGGTGAGGTCTCCAGTCCTTGTGGAACAACATGAATTTCAATTGTGTGATCCAATTAAAAATTTTCAATTCTAACAGGAAAAAAGTTGAACTAAATCCATGGCAATGGTATTTAAAATTGTGGTTTTATTCGGCTTTAAAATTTAGTCAGGTTTCATAGGATCTAAGCAAAATTAGAATGCAGGTAGCATTTGTTTAGCATTCTGACCCTTGTGACCCACTTTAGCTAAGCTGTCTGGGCATTCACACTGTCTTATGATTGTCCAAAAATACCTTGTTTTTTTTTTTTGAGATGGAGTCTCATTCTGTTACCTGGGTTGGCGTGCAATGGCGCGATTTCGGCTCACTGCAACCTTTGCTTCCTGAGTTCAAGCAATTCTCTGCCTCAGCTTCCCGAGCAGCTGGGATTACAGGTGTCCACCACCACGCCTGGCTAATTTTTGTATTTATAGTAGAGATGGGATTTCACCATCTTGGCCAGGCTGGTCTTGAACTCCTGACTTCTTGACCCACCTGCCTCGGCCTCCCAAACAATATCTTCTTTTTTTTAAAAAATGTATCATTATAAAATATACATAAAATCTACTACTTTAGCCATTTTTTAGTTTTATAATTCAGTGGCAGTAAGTATATTCATACTGTTGTGCAACCACCAAGACTATCCATGGTAGGACTGGGTTTTAATCTATAATTTTTGCATAAAACTTCAATTGCTAAGTATACTAGCACATAGACTGGTTGAGATGTTGCTAGTATATATTTTTCCCTACAACTGAGGTAACTTGGTGAACATATTTGTATACATCTACGAAATGGAATATATCATTTTAGCAACAAAATACTGGCAGAATATCTAGACTTTTTATTCTCATACTTTATTTCAACACATATGTAGCTAAGTATGGCTATGCTGGCATAACTAATCAGTATTAAGGTGAATCAAATTTTAAATTAATTCAATTTCAGTCATTAGAAAAATAAAATACGGCCGGGCGCGGTGGCTCAAGCCTGTAATCCCAGCACTTTGGGAGGCCGAGGCGGGTGGATCACGAGGTCAAGAGATCGAGACCATCCTGGTCAACATGGTGAAACCCCGTCTCTATTAAAAATACAAAAAACTTAGCTGGGCATGGTGGCGCGTGCCTGTAATCCCAGCTACTCAGGAGGCTGAGGCAGGAGAATTGCCTGAACCCAGGAGGCGGAGGTTGCAGTGAGCCGAGATCGCGCCATTGCACTCCAGCCTGGGTAACGAGAGTGAAACTGTCTCAAAAAAAAAAAAAAAAAAAAAAAAAAAAAGAAAAATAAAATACACCTACTCATACAACCTTAGTACTAGGTTGAATCAACTGAAATAGTTTACATGAATCTGTTTTTGACCTAGAGAAATGATAGGTCAAATTTCATATTTCAATCTAATGAGAATATTTACATAGCTATTATATTCCTCATAAATTCTAGATAAGATTTCCCCCCAACATTTTATTATGAAAAATTTCAAACTTTCCAAAAAATGCTGAAAACTGTTAAGTGAATACCCATATAACCAACATTTAGATCCTATAATTCTTATTTTGCTATCTTTCCTTTCTCACACATCCATCCATTTTTTTTTTTTTTTTTTTTTTTTTGCTGCATTTCAAAGTTGCAGGCATCAGTATACTTCAGCCTTAAATACTTGTATGGCTTTACTTTTTAGAACTTACATTTAGGCCGGGCGCGGTGGCTCAAGCCTGTAATCCCAGCACTTTGGGAGGCCGAGGCGGGTGGATCACGAGGTCAAGAGATCGAGACCATCCTGGTCAACACGGTGAAACCCCGTCTCTACTAAAAATACAAAAAATTAGCTGGGCATGGTGGCGCGTGCCTGTAATCCCAGATACTCAGGAGGCTGAGGCAGGAGAATTGCCTGAACCCAGGAGGCGGAGGTTGTGGTGAGCCAAGATCGCGCCATTGCACTCCAGCCTGGGTAACAAGAGCGAAACTCCGTCTCAAAAAAAAAAAAAAAAAAAAAAGAACTTACATTTAAAGCATATACTTTCAGATTTTTTCTAATTAATTTCACAACTAAGGTAAATGAAATAGTTGAATGATGATTTATAGTGGGAACTTATCAGGAGTTAGGCTTTCAGTTGAAATAGCAATGTCAGATTTGTGAGAAACAGAGCAATTCCATCTTGAATAGGCGCTGAATAAAATGACGTTGAAACCTACTGGGCTGCATTCCCATGGTTAAGGCATTCTAAGTCACAAGCTGAGATATGAGGTCAGCACAAAATAGAGATCATAAAAATATTTCTGATAAAACAGATTTCAGTAAGGACGCCAGCTAAAACCCACCAAAACCAAGATAGCCACAAGTGACCTCTGGTCATCTTCACTGCTACACTCCCACCAGTGCCATGACAGTTTACAAATGCCATGGCAATGTCAGGAAGTTACCTTACATGGTCTAGAAAGGGGAGGCAAAAATAATCTACTCCTTGTTTAACATATCTTCAAGAAATAACCATAAAAATGGGCAACCAGCAGCCCAGAGTCTTGCTCTGTCACCCAGGCTGGAGTGCAGTGGTGCCATCTCGGCTCACTGCATCTCTGCCCCCTGGTTCAAGTGATTTTCATGCATTGACCTCCCAAGTAGTGGAATTACAGGGTGCCCGCCACCATGCCCGCTTATTTTTGTATTTTTAGTAGAGATGGGGTTTCACCATGTTGGCCAGGCTGGTCTTGAACTCCTGACCTCAAGTGATCTGCCCACCTCAGGCTCCCAAAATGCTGGGATTACAGGCATGACCCACTGAGCCCAGTCACACACAGCTAATTAAAAAAAAAAATTTTTTTTTTTTTTTATTACAGACAGGATCTCCTTATGTTGCCTAGGCTAGTCTCAAACTCCTGGGCTCAAGTAATCCTCCTGCTTCAGCCTCCCAAAGTTTTGGGATTACAGGATTGAGCGACTGTGCCTGGTCAAAAATGTTGTTATAAAGAATTTATTAACTGGCCAAGAGCGGTGGCTCATGCTTATAATCCCAGTATTTTGGGAGGCTGAGGTGGGTGGATCACCTGAGGTCTTGGAGTTCAAGACCAGCCTGGCCAATAAGGTGAAACCCCATCTCTACCCAAAGTATAAAAACTTAGCTGCGTGTGGTGGTGGGCATCTATGATACCAGCTATTCGGGAGGCTGAGGCAGGAGAATCACTTGAACTCGTGGTGGAGGCTGAAGTGAGCCGAGATCGTGCTACAGCACTCTAGCCTAGGCAACAAGGGCAAAACTTCTCCTTAAAAAAAAAAAAAAAAAAAAAGAAAGAAAAAAAAAGAATTTAACTGATTTATGATCTTACTAGGTATTTAAATTTAACCCATCTAGTATGGAAAGAATACTAGTCTGTGAAATGAGGGCTGAGCAAAGAGGAAATTAAAGCATGTAAAAATGGTCACATGAATGTCTTTAGGCCAATATCAGCATATAAGATAGTGTGATTAGTCTTAAGAGCTGAAAAAGGCTGGGCGCAGTGGCTCAAGCCTGTAATCCCAGCACTTTGGGAGGCAGAGGCGGGTGGATCACGAGGTCGAGAGATCGAGACCATCCTGGTCAACATGGAGAAACCCCGTCTCTACTAAAAATACAAGAAACTAGCTGGGCGTGGTGGTGTGTGCCTGTAATCCCAGCTACTCAGGAGGCTGAGGCAGGAGAATTGCCTGAGCCCAGGAGATGGAGGTTGTGGTGAGCCGAGATTGCGCCATTGCACTCCAGCCTGGGTAACAAGAGCGAAACTCCGTCTCAAAAGAAAAAAAAGAGCTGAAAAAAAGGAGGGGAGGGCACACACACAATAAATGCTCTCTTTCCTTATTTTTATTATGAGATGGGTCCGGCTATGTTGTCCAGGCTGGACTCCAATGAAACTCCTGGGCTCAGGTGATCCTTCTGCCCCAGTTTCCTGATTACCCAGAACTGCAGGCATACAGTCTAACTTCCTGTTTCCCCACTG